TAAATAATTAACAATGACGTCTGTTGAAGTAACTTAAAGATGGAATCCAACTTGATGTGCTAACAGGAAATAGAAAATATTCTGAATCAAGTTTATCCTGTCAAATAATAGTAGTTATTTTGATGGCGCTTCAGAGGCATCGCAATCACATGTCAATCTGTCTAACAAAAGGCCTTCAAAAAATTGAAAGAGACTCTCTTTCATTACGACAAGATAAATCAATTTTATTCTATAAAAAAAATATAAAAATAGAAAAAGTGATCACTTGTTCTATTTTTATATTCATAAGGTAATACTGAATGTTCTTTTACAGATTGTATTTATATAATAATAAAAAAAAAAAACAAAAAAAAGTATTATTATAAATGAATTTCACTAACTAATAGCTGCTATCAAACCCAAAAATTAACAGAAATGTAGAACAATATTTACGTAGAATCCAAAAGTTTAAAATTAACTGAAATTACACTTCATTTGTAATCAAAAAGAAATTAAAACAAAAAAATTTATAATTTATTTAGATTTGTTATTAATTGGGGAAAGCAAATTTATGTGTATGAAACGCCATTCGATACATTTGAAAATAATATTTTTTTTTAAAATAATATTTTTTTTTGAAAATAATACAATTAATTGAAATATATCCACGAATGTTTGTTGGCTTTTTCACTAGAATTCTGTGCACTTTAAAGCTTATTTTCAGCTATTGTTCGGCTTTTTCGCATCAAAATATTTTCTTTTGTTTACGTAATTTAATTTAAGGGATTCATCCATTATGCCTTTTTGCTCCTTTTTGCTCCTCTCTGCCTTTAATTTTGTTTTCGTAGTATTTTTCATTTCGAAACACAAAATATTTCAATTTTATTTGTTGAAAAATATGCAACATGGCAGGAAGTTTCGAATTTACTTATGCAAAAACGGTGCTGGGCCTAATGTTGAGTTTTATGTTTCGCAACAACAGGATGGTGTGTGTTTTATTTAAATTTAAAAAGGACGCTGCCATAATATCATTTCATCAACACATCTAAGGCATGATACAATAAGGAAGAAAAAACATTTATTTATTTAGAGACAAAAGGGTTAATTCCGGCAGAACCCAGCTGCGGGAGCCATTATTCTCAAGTGCAGCAGAAACAGCAATGTTGGCGCTTAAATGCCAGTCAGACATGACACTAACGCCATAACAAACCACATTTGGTTTGCTAGCGTTGAACTCGCCGGTCTGAGCAAATCTGTTCCTACACTTTTAAGCATTCATACCCGTGTTTACACATTTCTGTAAGTCGCATTGACCCAGCAGTAAATTTATGAAGTGTGCGCGAATTTATGTGTAATATAGACTTACACAAAAAGCTATACATTGCTTTATAAGCACGCTATATTTATATGTAGCTTTGTTATCTTCTATCATTGTTGAACCATTAGGTTTTCCAGGTGAAGTTGAGAAGATCTGATAAGTTTGCTTTCGTTATCTCTTCCAGGCTTGTAAAAAAACGATCCCATAGACATTGAAGTCGCTTTGTCTGCAGTCCTGGACAGAAACACAGGCAGTGTTTAATGGATTCTACCTCCTTCTTATCTTGGACAGTCCTGCATTATCCACTTGTTGGAACTCGGCACCGTTGCATCATAGGCGCAATGGCACAATACCCCGTTAGTACTTCAGCAAGTAGACAAACTTCAGGTTTGCTGAAGCCCAAAAGGTTTTCCGTTTCATTTTTGTCCAAACTAGACCTGTATGTTCTAGCGACCTCGCATTCTTTGCAGTTAGTCCATAAGTCATCAGTCACCATATTGGTGATTCCCTCTATGATCCTAAATAGTTTACATATCGGTGTTTATACTGAAAGCTCGGCATCTCTTGTATGCAGTTCAGAACCTCTTCTGGTCGTCTCATCTGCTAGTTCGTTCCCTTCAATATTGCTATGTCCAGGAACCCAGCAAAGAAAGACCTTGTGATGTTTGATGCTCATCAGTGAGGTGTGACATTTTAGTACAATCTTAGATTTCATCGTTTTGGATTCAATTGCTTTCAAGGCGGTCTGACGAATTGTAAGGACGAAATGTACTCAGTTGTATAAGATTCGCCACTTTTCCAATAGGATATATCTCGACCTGAAAGACGCTACAATTATCAGGGAGTCAGTAGGACTGCTTTATCTTTATATCATATCTTAGAAGATACCTGTTCCCGTACCACCCTCCATCTTTGAGCCATCTGTGTAAATATAAACTACAGAGTTATCAGATCCCAGCTCCCAGCTATCTCTGATTGGATAAACAGTGGGAGTTCTGATATTGAAATCTAGTATTGGTGTCATGTAGTAGCAGAATCTAGGTCCATCTTGACTGAGCTACGACTCCTCCTTTTAGTCTTCTCCACAATTGTACGGTATCCATAATTAGCTAGTTTCCACATCTGAGGCTATGGAGCCTGAGAGCACTTTTGGCAGCACAGCCTTAAATAAACAAACATTTTGGTAAGAGATGTAGGCCTTCTTGAGACGTACTATTTATTGCTCTGGTGATACTCAAACAAGCCAATCTCTGTACTTTTCCAATATGGGCCAAATTGCATTTTTTGCCTGCCACCAAACGAGGACCCAGAGGTGATGATGGGCCTATATAATACTGTTCATCATATCATAAAGATATTTGTTACATTAAGAAACATCAAAAACCTTCTTACTGGGTAAAATATCAAAGACCCACATTGTTTATTCGTTATTATGTACAAAAAAAAATTACAACAATATTAGAAATATTATAGTTAGGTGAAACTTATAAGAGCTTGACACAGATATAACCTAGCAAATTTCTAGAAATTCAATTTCAGTATATACAAT